TATATATATATATATATATATATATAATATTTTCATTATAAAATATTTTATTATAAAATATATAGATTTATATTATAATATTTTTATCATAAAATATTTTACATGGCTACACAAAAATTTCTATATTTCGGGTACCATAAGTTACTTATTTACCATAAGTTATCCAACATCACCTGATGAGGAACAATTTTTAAGTTCCGAAACATAGAAATTTTTGTGTAGCGATGTAAAATATTTTATAATAAAAATATTATAATAATACTTTGGTTTACGTCGTATCGAGCAATTTTTTTTAAAAAAGTAAATGCTAAGAACGGTGGATTCTTAATCTGTTTTTTCTCTTTATTTGTGTGTGTGTATATATATATATATATATATATATATATATATATATTAATCAATTCGCCCTAAGAAAGAAAAAAATGCAACTAAGACGTAGAGGCTACTATGAGTAAAAGAGAGTGAAAAGATTTTGGATTGAAGCAGAAACTCTATCCTAAACAGGGAACAAACGATAAACCTCTAATCCTGTTTAAAAAAAAAAAAACCAAAAAAACAGGGAGGAGTGTAAACTGGACGATAGGCGAACTAATCTACTCTTATTAAGGAGAAAACGTAATTAGTATATAAAATTTCAGCGTTTAGGTGGATATATTAGAAGTATGGAGTTGAAATCGAATTTGAAGGAACCGGAAACTCAATCCTAAAAAGAAGCAAGGGGATAAAACTCTACTCCTGTTCAAATACCGGGATGAGTTGGAACCGGGCGATATGTGAACCTGTTTACTCACATTAGATACATACATATATATATATATATATATATATATATATATATATATATATATATATATATATATATATAGTGTCTAGGAAAAAATTGTATGTGTACAAGAACAACATTGTAAGCCCAAGACAAAAGTACTTTTTTTTTAATTTTGTTAAATGAAACATGTATTAAAGAGAAATCTCAGCCAAAATGGGCAAACACAAACACATACATACAGAGATTTATATATATATATGTGTGTGTGCGTGTGTGTGTGTGTGTGTGTGTGTGTGTGTGTGTTTTGAACAATAAAAAATATTAAAATTAAAATTTTCAGACACACTGGGTTGTATATTAATATTTTTTTGTTTATTATTTCAATTAGGGTCCTCGACTAGTTTCGGCCAGCATGGCCATCATCAGAAGAAAAAAATCCCTGTTTATAATTAGCAGTGAACTACAGGAGTCAATGACTGTTTCTAAAGAAAGTAAACTTTATTTGCAGTTTTCATTTGTTTTGTTTTTTTTTTTTCATCGTTAATTTTGGTTAGTTTTTGTGTTGTTGGTAAAACGGCCTCTTTCAAGTTGTTTTTACGATAGAGCATGGAAAATTTCTGACATTCAGAACACTCTTAATCATTTTGTCAGTTTTATTGGTTGCTGGGATTAGGAATATATATATATATATATATATATATATATATATATATATATATATATATATATATATAAGAGGGTAATTGAAAAAAATAACTTTATTTCCACTGATGAAGAACAAATGCATATATATCACTTTTCGACCTCGCACTTATCACTGAGGTTCTGGTATCGTTTGATGATCATCTTCATCCCCCTTCCGAATAGAAGCTTTTCGCTTTGGATCACGGAGCTCCGTTTCCCCAGCTTGTTGGTCATCATACTAAAGGATACCACAAGTCATCATGTTGTATAGCTTATGCATATCTACCATTGATGCCCACTTTTACTTTTTAACATTGTTTACCCAATATAAGGTCCCCAGATCTATTAAAAGTAAAGGTTAACTTGAATGCGCTTTTTGCATGATAGGTAAGAGTTGAAGGTAAGAATTGCAGTTTATAAAATATCCACTCTATACTCGTGCAACACGCCATCTTGCGTGTGGTGCGATCACTAAATTTTAATTTATAAAAAATGATCTTATAATGTATCTCGTGTATCATACGAGTTCCTTTTTTGAGAGACCAAATTACAATAGACTAACGTCTTTTTCTCTATCTCTTTATTCCATCTTCTAGTCAAATAAGTTTAAAAAAGTAAAAGAGAATGATAAAATTATCGTTTGTAACGTTATACTCGTTGCGTAAACACATGCAGCCACAAACAACCGAACGAGAAACAGCCAAAGATCTTATAGACATAAACAATAGAAAAGATGCATATTCGCTATGTTTGTATTTTATAATACGATACTAATATATGAATATTATATGCATTATTATTGGATACAGTTAAGTAAAACATCAGTTTTATCAAAATTATGTTTATTTTAAATACAGATAAAATTAACTTCAGAATTAGGTCCTAAAAATTTCATAGAAAATTTCCGTCTTCCGACAGGAATCGAACCGGTATCCTATACGAAAGGGTCATATAGCTGGACGTGCTTTTACTGATTTAACCAAAGAGGAGCGTTTTGGTTAACGAGCTCATTTTCCTGTTTTTAAACTACACTTTTTAATCGGTAAACGCACGTCACGCTATATTCAGGCCGGTAAATGTTGTTAAAAGAGTTTATTATAAAAAGAGCATTTACTTAAATATTTGTACCTATAAAAAAGAATGTATAAACATAAAAATGTCTTAAAATAATTGACGGATTTTGTCCATTTCATAATATATATATATATATATATATATATATATATATATATATATATATATATATATGTATGTATGTATGTATGTATGTATGTATGTATGTGTGTGTGTGTGTGTGTGTGTATTCACGATTCTCGAACTATACATATTTGTTCAGTTTTGTATCCTAACGTAAACAAAAACAGTTTATACGAAATGCATTAAATCTGACAGATTTTTAATTTATTTTTTTAAACGTTATTTTTTTTAATGGTTACTTAAAAAAGTAATCGCCAACATAAGTATATATATATATATATATATATATATATATATATATATATATATATATATATATATATATGTATATACACACACACATATATATATATATATATATATACACACACACACACATACATATATATATATATATATATATAGGCTTTACTTGTGTACTGAGCACTGCTTTTTTTTTTTTTTAATTAAAACAAGAATACTAAAGAACTTCGGATTATTAACCTAAAGGTTCTTTCTTATTTTTCAATATATTTGCACATTGCACACGCACACCTCTGAATATTAGAGAAAGCTTATTAGAAAAATATGTACCCTACGTCATTAGATCTGAAATGCCTTAAACCACTCGGTCAAACCGAAGAAGTAAAGAAGGGAATAAAAATGGAAAAAAGGAAAAAGAAAAAGAGAGAAAATAAAAAGAAGGAAGTAGTGTAAGTCTGGATATGAGCCGGGGGGGGGGAAAGAAAGGAAAGGAAAGAGAAAATAAGGGGGAGAGAAAAAGGGAGAAAAAATTACCTATTTATTTTATACCCAGTAATAGACAGAAGGCAGTTCAGGATCCTTCTATTAACAAATATAATATTATATTGAATAATGGGATAAACCCATTTATATGAAAGAGAGTTAATTCAGAATTAAAGGTATATTAAAATAAACAATATATCAGAAAACATAATAAGAGAAAATATAAAAATAGAAATTAATGTATTGAAATAATTCACATTATCTAAGGGAGAAGTATCTAAATTTAAATCTACATTTAAATCAACATATTTAAAGTTAAATCTATATTAATTAACTAAATAATTCCCATCTACATTGATAAAAATTAATATTTATCATCTACTATATAATATAATGAACTAATAAGAGGAAGATTAAATGAAAGAAAAATCTACACTAAAATTAGAAAATTATTTTTCTTCCCTTCGACAGTTTTTATTATTTAACCGTTAATTGTACTCGATGCTCATATTAGAGTAGACGCACCGTTTACTTATTAAACTATATACATTTATTTCCGCTTACCGGCCTGAATATTCGTGTAACCTTATTAAAGAATAATATACGCTCTCAACTGGATTTGAACTTGCATCCCAATTGGCAGGAGACATCGTCGTTAGATCCGACGTACTTCAGACCGACAGAGTGCGTTGTCGATAAAGCACATTTTGTATAGTGCCTTATAATAATTAGAATAGCGTCTATTCAAATCCACGAATAGTAACAACTATATATATATATATATATATATATATATATATATATATATATATAATGGACAAAGTCCGACAATTATTTTAAGACATTTTATGTTTATACATTCTTTTTTATAGATACAAATATTTAAGTAAATGCTCCGTTTATAATAAACAGTATTAAACAACATTCACCGGCCTGAATGTCCGAGAGATTTTCACAGAAAATATTCGGCCTCCGACAGGATTCGAACCTGTATCCTATACGTAACCGTCATTTAGCTTGACGTGCCTTTACCGGAGGACGAATATTACTTAAATATTTTGTATCTATAAAAAGAATGTATTAACATAAAATGTCTTTTATATAATATATATATATATATATATATATATATATATATATATATATATATATATATATATATATATATATATATATATATAAAAGACATTTTATGTTAATACATTCTTTTTATAGATACAAATATTTAAGTAATATAAATAAATTATTTAATATATATATAAAACAGCATCACCCCAAGCAAGGCAGTACAGCCACTAACAAGCAAAGGGTTACAGGTAAAACATTAGTAATGGATAGAAAGAGAAAAGAACCATGAGGCGCGCAGTAGATAGCGATTGACATTTCATTTAAACTTTTGCAGATTAAAATTGGCTGGAAGGCATAGAACCGCAACGGAGTCCCACCGAAGAGAGGTGCGAGAAACTGTCTGCATCGAAGTTATAGCTACATCTAGCTAGCCCAGATGTAAATTAATGAGATCTCGCCGCCAGATTATTATTGCGCTGAAATTCATACAGTCTTGGTACGATAGCGAATATCTCATTAGAACAATTAACATGAAAGTATTTATAAAAAAGGCATATACATATGTGTGTGTGTGTGAGAGAGAGAGAGAGAGAGAGAGAAAGAGACAGACAGACAGAGACAGCGAGAGAGAGACAGAGAGACAGACAGACAGATACAGAGAGAGAGAGAGAGATTTTGTGGTGGCTTGATGCGACGCTCTTGTTTATTTAAACAAAAGGTTTAGCACTTTATAAAAACAAAATGGATGATTCAACTGAAATAATCGCTCGTCTGACAAACACATTTAATCAAGGAAATAACAAGCGATCAAATTTGCTGTTCCATCGGCGTGACCTGAGAGATAGGAGCGTGTGAAAGGTTTATTCAACGAGAGGCCACTAGCTCAACGCAGATGTCAGGAGAGAATGCCAATGGCACAAACGCGCATGCGCGTAAGAAACGGGTGTGACGTGTATAGAGAAGATGCGCATGCTACTCAAGAACACGACTCAAGAAAACTCCAGATGACAACAGAGGTCTGAAGAGTTTATAGTGTCAAAATTGTTGATTGTAAAATATGAGTGATCAGTGAAAAATGTCATGAAGCCATTTCTGACCTTAGGTCTCTGCTTGGGACCCGGAAGGAAATGTGTATACAACAGAAACCCAAGGAAATAATAATAATAATAATAATAATAATAATAATAATAAAGAGCTTCCTCGATTATCCGGACACTTTGGGACAAGGATTGAAAAAAAATGTTTGAATAATACAGCTGAATAATAGTTCCGTGCTTAAAATATCGAAACCGAGTGAAGAAAAACATTTTCAAACGCTTTGTTCAAGGTTTTATTCAACTTATTTTTCAAGGAAAAAAATGCATCAACTTTTGTCTGCTTCCGGCTGGCCTCGCGGTATTTTTTCCTTTTTTTTTTTTTGTTTTGTTTTTTACCAAATTTATATTAACGGTAGATGTATTTGTAAGGGTAGATTAAAAGGCGATGTATTTGTAATGGTAGATTCTGCTTGAAAGAGAAAGCAACTTAAACATTTGTCAATTTTTATCAAGCGGTGAATATGCTTTTTTTTTTTTTTTTTAAATTCCCAAGACGCTTGTTTGAGATTAAATATTAGATTGGGTTTAGTTCGGATAATTGAAAATGTCTGGATGATTTTACTTTTCCATTTATTTCACTTTTGGATAATCAAAATTTCATCAAGATACGGATAATCGAGGAAGTACAATAATAATAATAATAATAATGATGTTAATAATAATGATGATAATAATAATAACGACGATGATGATAATAATAATGATAATAATAATGATAATGATGATGATGATGCTGATAATAATAATAATAATAATGATAATAACAAAAATGATGATAATAATAATGATAATAATGATGATGATAATAATAATAATAATAATAATAATAATGATGATGATGATGATAATAATAATAATAATCACACATGAAAATTAAAAAAAATAAAAGATTAGGCAATTAATCTGACATAACCACTTACAGGTTAGTGCTGAAAAGTTTGTCGAATGAACTCACTTCCAGCAAATTTAAGTAAAAGACCAAACATTTGGCCTAAGAATCCTAAGAATTTTATTTGGAAATGAAAGTAACTGAAAATATGATAATTTACCAGAGAGAGAGAGAGAGAGAGAGAGAGAGAGAGAGAGGAGGGGGAGAGAGGGAGGGAGAGAGGGGAGGGAGAGGGAGAGAGAGAGAGATGTTGCATAAATAGCCAGGTAAAAAGTCAAATGAACAGTCACAATGCAATAAATAGAAGGAGATTAGTAAATAGTGCAGTCATGTAATAGAGCGAGTGAATAGTCATGGTGCAATCATGTAGTAGATCGGTGAGGAGTGGAATTGTCGAGATGCAACAAAGAGAGAGAGAGAGAGAGAGAGAGAGAGAGAGAGAGGGAAGATGAATCGTCAGGGTGGAATCACTAAAAAATCGGGTATATAGTCAGATTGCCATAAAGAGAGAAAAATCAGGTGAGTAGTTAGGATACAGTCACGTAAAAGATTGGGTGAATATTCATGGCGCAATAGTGATAGAGATGCGGGATGAATAGCCAGAGTGCAATCCCGTAATAAATTAGGTGAATAGTCAAGATGGTACGAAAAGAGAGTGGTTGGATGAATGGTCAGGGTGGAATCACTATCGGGCTATAATCAAGGTACCATAAAGAGAATAAAGTCGGGTGAATAGTCAGGGTGTAATAGAGACAGAATGGCCTTTTGAATAGTCAAGGTGTAGTCACGTCGTAGATCGCGGGAATAGTCAAGATGCAACGATGAGAGTGACAGACAGAAAGACTGAGAAAGAGAAGGGAATGAATAGTCAGGGTGGAGTCACTAAAAATAGGGTATATAGTCTAGGTGTTATGAAGAGAGGATAGTCGGGTGAATAGTCAGGGTGCAATAAAGAGAAAAAGTGGTGATTACTAATTAGGAAAAGCATAAATCTGCCGCGAACTTATGTGTTAAATAATAAAACAGATTGAGTCGTCATCTTTTGGGTGGCAAACAGTCTAGGAGAAAGAAAACAATGAATAAAGCCCAAGACTACACTGTTGACATTTTTGGGAAAGGTGAGAGCGGAGGAGTAAACCATAAACAAATCCAGATTAGAGCCTAAAAGACGGTTGGTTGGCGTACCACATGCCAGCTGCATCAATACCAAACCGTGCTGGATTATCTTTTCGACGAGAGTGAGGTCTTGCCGTATGCAAAAGTACGCTATAGTAGATCCCAAAACAGACTGATGTCAAGGCAAATAAGTTTTCGTCTAGAAAAGGATTTCGTTATAGGCTGAGTTACCATAGCAACAGCACCAATACATTTTGATCAAACTTCATATATATATATATATATATATATATATATATATGTGTGTGTGTGTGTGCGTGTGTGTGCGTGTGTGTGTGTGTAAAAATATATAGAAAATAGGAAAGAACTCGTTACGTAAATAATCCAAAGTTCTTTAGTATTTTTGTTATTATTTTTAAGAAATAGTGCTCGATACAAAAGTAGAGCATAAATATATATATACTTCATATATACTTCATATATATATATATATATATATATATATATATATATATATATATATATATATATATATATTTATATATATTTGAATATATATATAGGGCTGGACAAAATAATTGAAACACTTGTTAAATTCAAAGAAAATTTATTTAATATGGAGTTGGTCCTCCTTTAGCCTCACAGACAGCTTCAATACGTCTAGGAATGGAATCATATAGCTTCCTGACTTCACCCAGAGGATTTTTTTTCCATTAAAACCTTCTCCAGTTCTTTACGACATGATGGTGGAGGATAGCGGCTCGTAACATGTCGCTCCAAAATGCACCACAAATGTTCAATAATATAGATATCTAGAGATTGGGGAGGCCACTCCATGTGTTCTAGCTCACTTTCATGCTCTTCATACCACTTCTTAACCAATCGAACGGCATGTATTGGAGCATTATCGTCTTGGAAGATGCCGTCACCATCAGGGAATAAAGTCTTGGCCATTGAATGAACAAAATCTCCCAAAATGTTGAGGTAATCTTTGCTGTTGATTCTACCATGCAGGGCAACTATTGGACTGAGACATTTCCATGATATGGCGGCCCAAACTATCACTGATCCACCTCCATGCTTCACTGTTGGAAGAAGGCAGTCAGGGTTGTAAGCTTCTTTGGGCTGCCTCAACACTGAGTCGATCCTCCAGATATACAAATCCACAATTCGCCCTTGCATGGAGTATTGCTGCCATATATGGTCTGGCGCCCCTTCTGTTTGCCTCGGGGTTCTTGATAGGCTCCAGAAGCGGATATGCAATATGGTTGGCACTGCCCTGGCGTCTCGTCTACAGTCACTTTCTCACAGACGCGCCGTCGCCTCCCTCTGTCTGTTCTACAAATACTTTCATGGAAATTGCTCCGAGGAGCTGCATTCGCTGGTTGCCAGACTTCATGAGTTCAAGCGCCCTACGAGGCTGGCATCCCGCTCTCACCCCTTCACTGTCGAAACTCCTAAATGTAGCCGTCTCTTCTACTCTAATAGCTTCATGTCTCGCACCTCTCGCCTGTGGAACTCTCTTCCCTTCTCCTGTTTCCCTGTGAGTTATAATCTCCAGCTATTCAAGTGTAATGTCAATCGACATCTCAGTTTCCCTAATCTATCTACTACCCTCATCCTATATTCCATCACTCCTATCTGATCTTCCTATTTTCTGTAACTCCTTGCGTCCTAGTGGCTTCCCGCCTTGCTTGGGGTGAAATGCTTAAAAAAAAAAAAAAAAAAAAAAACATAAACTCACCTTGAAGTTGGGAAAAGAGGAAAACTGGACTTGTTTGAGAATATGACTTGCTTCCATTGGTCTGCAGATCAGGCATTGTGATCTCTGAACCACTACAACCTCTTTTGAATAACCAAACTGTTCAGTAATCTTATTGATCGAGTCTCCTGCCATGTGAGCTCCAACAGTTTGCTCTCTTTCGAACTCGGAGAGATCACGCATTTAGCTTAAATTTTACTAAATTCTAAAAATAAATAACACAAAGGCAGTAAATTAGATAAATAAACGTCTTTGCAATAGATATAAACTGCAATTACGAAGTTTTAGTTAAAGTTCTTAATATAATAGAAGTGGATTTTGCAACTACCAATTATTTTGTCCAACCCCTGTATATACTTATATATATATATATATATATATATATATATATATATATATATATATATATATATATATATATATATATATATATATAGTAACCATAATATAAGGAACGGAAACAACAAAGACATAAATATGTGTATTTCTTAAAAAGTAATGCATGATTAGCAATAAAACTTTTACTCAATAAAGATTAGGGTGTAATGCTATACAAAGTTACAAAAATTTACATAATAGTTTGTTTTTTTAATAAAATCCCTCAGTTAATCCCTTTAACTCAAATCTCAAAGTTTTTGGTTCACTGCTCTGGCGTGGTATTGAACTCACAACTCTTTGGATCTAGTTACTTGATCTAACCAACGTCTTTATCCATATCTTCCTCAGTCCGAATAATGTAAATAATGTAAGTAATCATAATACCTCATCTTAGAAATATAGACAGATACGGTAGTACTCCTTGTTTACTGCCTGACCAGCTGTAGCATACTCATGATGAACAATGCCATTGTAGTCGAAGAAAACTGTCGACAGTGTTTTCACGTTGCTTCGTCTCATCTGTGCCTCATGTGTGCGAAAACGTTATAACTTAGTGCTCAAGCTCGACATAGTTCAAAGTTAATATGTGCAAAGCCACCCCACTCTGCGTACTTTAGCAACAGTCCCGATACTTTTTGATCAGACATTGTAGATATAATCAGACAAATTAATTAACTAATTAATTAATTAACCAATTAAATTAAAGAGAGGTACTAGATTAGCAGCTAAAACATATAGTTAAAAAGGCTAGACGTAAACGTAAGTTCTATGCTAACAGCTTCATCTCTCGCACTTCTCGCCTGTGGAACTCTCTTTCGGCTTCTTGCATCCCAGGCAAATTTGATTTTCAGAAATATAAATCCAATGTCAGTCGTTATCTCCTGTATTCTTAATTTTTATTCTTTTATTGTACTCTATCCTTATTAGTAGTTTTTCTCATATTCTTTAACACTTGCGTCTTAGTGGCTTTATTGCCTTGTTTGGAGTGAAATGATTAAAAAAAGGCACTAACAAAAGGAAAACAAGTAGAATTGTTATATGATAATAATATTAGACTAGCCGTAGTCGCGATCATCGTAAACCCCATGATTCTTTCACTAGCTGCATATAGGACGTGTCTTGCTTGTGGAACTCTCTTCCGACTTCTTGCTTCCCAGTCATTATTGATCTTAAAAAATTTAAACGCAATGTCAATCGTTATCTTCGTTGTGTCTTCTTGATTCCTATTCTTTTATTGCTCTATCACCTTAATAATATTTTTTTTCGTATAATTTTACACCCAGTAACTTCTTGCGTCTTAGAGGCTTTATTGCATTGCTTGGGGTGAAATGCTTAAAAAAAAATATATTTTCATATAATCTACAGTGATTATTTTATTCCTCTTGAGATAATGTGCAACCAAGAAACTAAACAAAAATGGAATAAAAAGTAACGTCCGCCGTGGAAGTACGATGAATATGTGCACATTGATATGCTTAAAAAATTTTAAATACGAGGTCTGATAATATATATATATATATATATATATATATATATATATATATATATATATATATATATATAAGACATATATATATATAAGACAGAGGTTATAGTGGTTCCAACGAGAGAAAAGTGTGTATATTAAAAGAAGAGATGAAAGGTGCCGCAAACGTTTTTTTGGTTGTAATGTGGATTTTAAAAAAAAAATATTGTGCTTTATTTTCCATAATTTTACTACACATGTTTCTGGTCTTGCGACCATCTTCAGGTAAAAGGCGGAGATTTCCACATATTATTAAAAATAATGAACTTTTTTCCTTTATGTTTTTCAATGTTAAATATTCTCGATATGAGACATTCTCTGTTTTTGTGTTAGTAATCCGAATGTCTTTCTTGAATTGGCAGTGAAGAGTTCCTATATATATATATATATATATATATATATATATATATATATATATATATATATATATATATATAAAGGGACTGGTGCTATAAAAAAACTACAACGCAAAAAGAAACCATCGTTCTACCCACTTAGCTGTATCTGTAACGATTCCCTTAATAGTTTCTATCTATCTATCTATCTATCTATTTCATCCTGCTCCTATCTATCTATCTATCTATCTATCTTTCATCCTATTTCATCCTGTCCCTATCTATCTATCTATCTATCTATCTATCTATCTATCTATCTATCTATCTATCTATTCTATTTCATCTATCTATCTATCTATCTATCTATCTATCTATCTATCTATCTATCTATCTATCTATCTATCTATCATATCATCTATCTATCTATCATCTATCTATCTATTTATCTATCATCTATCTATCTATCTATCTATCTATCTATTCATCTATCTATCTATCTATTTCATATCTAAAAGTCTATGAATATCTATCTATCTATTTCATATGTTCTATTGTTGGGCGCATAATATCATTATCTAATTTCATTGCTCTATCATTTCTATCTATCTATCTATCTTTATCCACATCTATCTATCTATCTTTTCATTTCCATCTATCTATCTATCTATCTATCTATCCTCTCTATCTATTTCATTGCTCTATCTATCTATCTCTCATTATCTATCTATCTATCTATCTATCTATCTATCTATCTATTTCATCCTCTCCTATCTATCTATCTATCTATCATCTATCTATCTATCTATCCTATCTATCTATCTATCTATTTCATCCCTCTATCTATCTATCTATCTATCTATCTAATACTAAAAAGTCTGTGAATAGTATGTATGTCGGCCGTTGGGCGCATATAAATAAATTTCTTTCCATCTCTCTCTTTCCATATCTCTTTCCACCTCTTTCTTTCCACCTCTCTCTTCTTTCCACCCTCTCTCTTTCCACCTCTCTCTTTCCACCTCTCTCTCTTTCCACCTCTCTCTCTCTTTCCCCTCTCTCTTTCCACCTCTCTCTCTCTTTCCACCTCTCTCTTTCCACCTCTCTTCCTTTCTACCTCTCTCTTTCCACCTCTCTCTTTTCACCTCTCTCTTCCCATCTGTCTCTCTTTCCACCTCTCTCTCTTTCCATCTCTCTCTTTCCACCTCTCTCTTTCCACCTCTCTTTGATTGCGTGCGCTCTTATTTATATTTCTGCTTTCTTTAAACAAACAATATTTAAAAAAAAAAAAAAAATTATTTTTTGCCATATTTTAAAAATATTTTCATGCGAATATGATTTTAAAATATTTTTTGTCTTATTAAAGAAAATTTAAGTTAATCTGGTTTAAAAAATATTTTAAGTGAATAAGATTTAAAAGTACGAGTTGTTTATACAGTAAGTAACTTTATTTCGACTTTGTTCAAACAGACAATTTTTTTAATGTTAAAATCAACTTCAATGTTTTATAACCTGTACCGTTAGTGACCCAATGGGTCACGGGTAGTCGATTTACTAATAAATGTCAATACATTTTATTACCTGGGCAAGGGGAGGCCAGCTCATTCAACATTCAAACGTCCACTGGGCCTGAACTGGAATGGAAATACTATGTGCAATGTTTCAAAGAATTCTGGAATTGCACGAATTATCAAAAGGTGTTACTTGATTGTTTGGGATGAATGTACTATGAATAATGAAAGAACTTTTCAAGCTTTGGATAGAACACTAAGAGACATTAGGGAAAATGATTCTCTGAGGGGTGGAATATCTGAACTTCTCTCTGGTGACTTCAGACAAATTCTCCCTGTCATTCCATAAGGTAAGAGATCAAATGAAATTCGAGCTTCATTGAAATTATATATTATGGAGACATGTAAATATAATTGACAATATAATAGCATACCTGTATGGAGATACAAAATTAAATCAATTTGCTGAAAACTTGCTAACTCTCGGAGAGAGGAGAGTCCCAATTTACAGTAAAAGTTTCATTGATCCATCATTCATATGTACTTTCGTAGCATCAACTTTGGAGTTAATTGCCAAAGTTATTCCAAATATCAATGCTCATTATCAAAATGGTAAATGGTTGTTTGAAAGAGCCATTCTAGCACCGAAATATACAACAGCCAATTCTATTTATTTTGAAAGTTAACAATGATCTCTGGAAACTGTCACTCCTATAAATCTGTTGATACTGTTATTAACCAGTTGGATGCAGTCAATTATCCAACAGAATTCCTTAACTCTCTTGAGTTATCTGGATTACAAGCACATAGACTAGATCTGAAAATTGGCTCTCCAATAAAATCCTACAAAATCTTCAACCTCCAAAACTCTGCAAAGACACAAGAAAGAATGATGCCTCATGTTATTGAAGCAACAATTCTTTCTGGTTGTGGGAGAGAAGAGGAGGTCTATATACCAAGAATTCTTTTGATCCCTACTGAGGGTCCGTTCAATTTTAAGAGACTGTAATTTCCAGTTACACTTAGCTTTGCAATGTTGCATATATATATATATATATATATATATATATATATATATTAAGAAATGGACAAAGTCCGACAATTTATTTATTAAAGACATTTTTATGTTTAACGTTCTTTTTATAGATACAAGTATTTAAGTAAATGCTCTGTTTATAATAAACAGTATTAAATAACATTTACCGGCCTGAATGTCCGAGAAATTTTCATAGAAAATATTCGTTCTTTGAAAGGATTCGAACCTGCATCCTATACGGAACCGTCATTTACGCTGACGTGCCTTAGAAATGGACATTATTATAAACAGAGCATTTACTTAAATACTTGTATCTATAAAAAGAACGTTAAACATAAAAATGTCTTTAATAAATAAATTGTCGGACTTTGTCCATTTCTTAATATATGACGTCATTTGTTTACATTTGATACGCCAGAACAGTTATGAATGTACGAGATTCATGGAAGATTGAAGTTTATAAGCAGTAAATTCGACCTTGTCTACCGAACGCTTCTTTGTGGTCGAGATGGTTAAACATAAAAATGTCTTTAATAAATAAATTGTCGGACTTTGTCCATTTCTTAATATATATATATATATATATATATATATATATATATATATATATATATATATATATATATATATAAAAAGATGCTTAAACACTAATATTCCATGGTCATAATTTATTCCATTGGAATCGTACGGTAAATACGATTCAATTCATCAGACCTACAAATTCAAAAATAAAACAGAAAAAACAACTCCGAAAATAGAAATAGAATTTAGAGAGAGTGTAAGTATGAGAGTGTGGGACGAATCTTAGAGCTAAAGAGAGGGGGTAACAGACGAGAGAAAGAGGGAGATTAAATCTTAACAGAGAGGAGTTTAGGAGAGGTGAGTGGAAGAGGTTTTAGTGAGAGAAATATGAATGTTGTCGGATGTCTAATACATTAAAGATAAATTTCGTGGTGACATACACACACCATAGACGATCTAATGTTAAAGATCAGAATAAGAGGGAGGAGAGGAAAAGAAAAGAAGAAGGGGGGGGGAGAGAGATGGGGGGAAACTAAAACTGAAGGGCATTTACTGAAAGGGCCGCTGTGTAATTAAGAAAATTTGACAAAATTAATATCGACTCCAGGTTACAAATCAAATATAAGCATATAAAAAATAAATATAACGATTATCTTATCTAGCAAGGACCTATATATGCTTTGTTATTTTCATTTGTATGTAATCCGAGATGTTTGTTAAATTTTATGCGATAGTTATATTCCTGAAATATATTATTTAGAAACTAAGCTAAAACTCATTTCAATAATTTTATGGAGGGCAACGCCGGATATTGCTGCTAGTAAAAAAATAAACGAACTCATTAACCCCGATTCATTTTAATGCTTCATTAAAACTGGCATCTCTGAAAATAAAAGTTTTACAACGGTAATTGCATGAGGACAAATTTGATTATCCTTATCCCCATAAAATTTGTATCAATCAATCAATGTTGGTAAAACATTCAGGAAATACATTAGCTTTTAATAGTATCAATATTATCAGTATTAATATTATTAGTATTAATATTATTATTATTGATATATTAGTATTAATATTATTATTATAGGTATATTAGTATTAATATTATTAGTATTAATATTATTATTATTGGTATATTAGTATTACTATTATCATTATTTATATATTAGTATCAATATTATCAGTATTAATATTATTAGTATTAATATTATTATTATTGATATATTAGTATTAATATTATTATTATTATTGATATATTAGTGTTACTATTATTAGTATTAATATTATTTTTATTGATATATTAGTATTAATATTATTAGTATTAATATTATTAGTATTAATATTATTAGTATTAATATTATTAGTATTGATATATTAGTATTAATATTATTATTGATATATTATTATTATTATTAATATTATTAGTATTAATATTATTATTATTGATATATTAGTATTAATATTATTAATATTATATCACTAGTTTTAATATTATTCGTATTAATATTATTAATATTAATATTAATGTTATTAGTATTAATGTTATTAGTACTAGTACTAGTATTATTATCTCCCAAAACGGGTTTCAACCGGTCTGCCTGAATATTTCGTACTGGTGTACGTAGGAAACTTTAAGCAGTAAACGGCCGGTTGAAGCATCTTTTTGGGGGAATATACTGGAAAAACCCGTGGAAATCTCACGGTTTTTCTCTTTGGAATTTTTGATGAATCTTAATTCTTCAGTTAGTTATTGAATAAGCTCATGGTGACTCCTGTAATAAAAAAAATATCCATAGAAATTCCCCTATCGAATCGTTAAAATCGTTTAACAAAATATTGCAATAACAATCATAACTGTGAATTCTGGTCGTTATTTAAAGAAGTAAGGGGATACAAATGATTTGAATTTGACAACTTTTTTCATTTCATTGAAACAAACTTTAAACAATTCTATCTTCCCTTTCTTTCTTTCTTTCTTTTTTTTCTTTACACTGATATTTCGGAAATATTAACTAATTTTTTTCTACAGGGGTGGGCATATCTGTAAAAATTACTTGACAACTATGACGTGAGCCCTTTTTTATATGAATTGTTAACTACCCAGTAATCTTAAAAAAATTAAAAATAGGAAAATATGCTAAATAATCTAATGACTTACTGAATTTTGGGTACTTTAGCTTTAAATTTATTACAGTTCCGGTCTCATTGAATAATAATGTCGTGTATGGACGTTCAAATTTTTAAAAATCAGCACGTTTCTACATATACAAAAAAACAACATTCTTTTTAAAGTACTGGGACTCGTTGAAATGTAGTAAGCTTTTCCATGTATGATTAGTAAATATAGTTTTTATTTAATAAAAATATCGCCTAACCACTAAAAATTAATACGTAATTTTAAAAGATTTAATACTTTATAAATTATGCTTATTACAATTTCTAAAAGATGAAAACAGTTCTTGTAAAAATCGCTATTAATCGATTTTTTTCTTCTTAGGACAATAGTGTTCATAATATATTTTATTAATAAAAAGAATTGAAAGCAATTTTAATTAAATTCTGTCTTAGTTTTATTGCACTTTTTTTTTATTTTACGATTACAAAGCAGATTTTCGGTAACTAGGTGTACTCTGTTACAAAAAAAAACACATGATTTAAATTCTCCATAATCTTTTACTTGTAACTAATATAAAGCTTATGACCTACTATAAAAATGAATTTTTAGAAATTTCGTAAAATTAAATAAGATTTAAAAAATATTTTTACCAAGATTTTCCTGAAACAAAGATTTCTAAAATAATTTAATTCATTTGTGAATAAGTTCTGAAAGTTTCATCAAAATCCGACAATTATCTGATTTTTGCAAGAATTTTCAAATCAATGCGTTTTTCACCGGAAAATACGCTAAAATTTCCTATACTAATTTATGGTCAGTCGCTGATGCCAAAAAAAAAAAAAAAAAAAAAATTCGAAAGCTCTAAAAAGGATTAAAAATATGATTTAATAATAAAAAATAATTATGTCTTTCCTCTTAATAATAATATAAACATTTTGACACTAAGTTTAGGGCATTTTTCATCATTTATCTCGTAATTTTTTAGCGATTTTGTAAATCATAAATGTGAATTCTGGTCGTTATTTAAGCAAGTGGGTACAAATAAAATGATTTGAAATTGACAACTTTTTCATTTCATTGAAACAAACTTGAAACAATTCTATCTTTCCTTTCTTTCTTTCTTTCTTTCTTTTCTTTCTTGTTTTTATAAAACAATTTAAAACCGGATTCTTTGCTCTATCAATATTTACTCGTCTGATAGAAAAGTTTGAAACCACAAAGACTGCATGACATTCCTTCAAGTTGAAGAAATCAATTAGAATCTTAGCGTACATCTCAAGTTATGGACAGTCTGTCAATAATTTGATGAGACGTGCAACCTTGGTTAGACAAAATGGAGGAACAACTGAAAATTTTATATAATTTCATAAACCCGATTACATAGCCATTTGCTTCAAAATATATGTTGCAGTTTTTACAGTTGCTTACTTTGTCTTAAAATGGTTTTAAAACTTGCATTCATTTATTTTCACCCTATATATATATATATATATATATATATATATATATATATATATATATATATATATATATATATATATATTCCTTTATTATAATTTTATCATATAGACAAAACCATTTTAATCACTACAAAGATGCAACTTCGTTTCAGTGCATTTCAACTGCACTTCGACGGGTGAGAATCGAAAATGTTTATGAACAATCCTGCTTGTAGGCAAGCTGTGTGTGAAACGTCACTTCCTTTTTTCCATTTGTTTGAGAAAAAAAATATTGCTGACGGAGTGAAACAATTGTGCTTGTTGATAGCAGTTTGGTGATGAATGGATTGGGTGTTTAATGTTGACTGGTCTATGGAAATTTTCCTGCTGATAAACACCGGTCAAAATTCCAGGCACATCATCTCACAATCATCCTAAGAGTGAGAGGTAGGGAAGGAAAGATGGAGATAGGGGATAGTATTACGTTTAAGTAGGTAAAAATTGTAGCGATATTTCTAGCAGTAATTGGAAATGTTATTTTTGGTTTACTATAAACATTCTAGAGCTGAATTGCATGTATTTATGTTGGGGTTATCACTACTAATTCTGTAATCAATGAACGTGTTTTGTGGATTAAAATTTAGAAGTGGTGATTTACTCTAAAAAAATAAGGGATGTTAATATAACCTTTTATAATCAAATTTTGAAATATTTCTGGATTAATGCTGTGAACGTTGGAATTGGAATATTACTTTCGTTCTCATCGCATCGGCTATATATATATATATATATATATATATATATATATATATATATAATGTGGATAGACATTATAAGCTGAAACTAACATCTTACTTATTATAAAACGCAGATTGTGTGTGTGTATGTGTGTGTGTGTGTGTGTGTGTCTGTACGTTTATATATTGGATCGGATTTCCTACATTTTTCAACCGATTTCAACAAAACTTCACAGGACTGCGTAAAATTACCTTGCGGTGGTTCTGTCAGCGCCAAAAAATTGGAAAAACACAATTGTTTTTGCACGAAACCAATTTGAAAACACGATAAAACACAATTCTGTCACCAGAACGAAAGGGGGACAACTCATATCGAGTTATACTTATTGTAAAACCCAGGTTGTTTGTGTGTGTTCGTTTATATCTGGGATCGGATTTCCTACATTTTTCAACCAATTTCAACAAAACTTCACTTTTTTTTTTTGGCAGGTAGTGTTTCTTATTGTCTTGCACACTTTTTTCTCTATTTTTACATTCAGAATGCTTTAAAAATTCCATTTAAAAGACAATTTTTTTATAATGCGTGTCCGTCAACCTTAAACAATAATCTTTGTCAATTTTATTTTTCAGTCTTTATGATGGTCGATATTTGATCTATCTCTTACTGTTACATCCCCGGGAAACGCCGGGCTCTACTGCTAGTAATATTATAATTCTGCTTGTTATTTAGTTAATTAGATAGGTAGAACGTACGTTACGCCCTAATATTAGCGCAGATAATCATTGGGCCATTTCTGTTTGATTGCGAGAATAGCCGGACGAAAAGATACATCAAAGACACTCTTTGGTTTTAGAGAAAGACACAGAAAAAGGAGAAAGACGACGAAATATGGTGAACGTCTGCTTCAATGAAATGGATTTTTTTTACCTTTTCCGTTGAACCCTTTTACTACTTTAAATAATGACCTTCATCCAAATTTATGATCGCTATAAAAAATGAATCAAATTTTGAACTAGACAATAGTGGGAATTTCCCTGTGTATTTGTTAGTCGTAAAACTCGCAAGGCGCTTATTCAATCATTAATTCAATTAAGGCTTAGAAAATTAAAATAGGAAATCATCTTCACCGATATTCCTTGTTTTTATTGACTCTTACGGCCGTATCAGGTTGAAACTCCGGTTTCCGTACGATGACAGAAGTTAAGCAACGTCGATCCTGGTCAGTACCTAGATGGGTAACCGCTAGGGGATACCAGGTTGTGTAAGCTTGAATGTGTCGGTTATGTCAAGTATAATACATGGATTTTTTAATCGGGGAGCCGAGTTCAAATTCATGTTGGGTTCGTTGTATCCATTTACGCGCAAAGGACAAGTATGACTTGCATCACTAAAATATTATTATCTAAGAAAAATATTAAAATCAAAAAAAAAATTCTGGCTTTAACTAACCTGCAAAGGGTTGATAAGCCGTAAAAAATGTATCACTAAAATAGTTTTTATTGATATAGTTATCTCCTGAAAAGGCTTACCAACGTTGGTTGGTTGATACAAATTTATGATGACACGGCTAATAAAATCTGACGTCATGCAATTACCGATTTACTACTTTTATTTTCACAGATTCCCGTTTTAATGAAGCACTGAGACGAATCGAGGTTATTGAGTTCTGTTGCTTTTTATTAAGTTTGAGATACAGCTCAATGGTTAGAAGAAGGATTTATTTGGGGGTCTATATTTTCTATTAACTTTCTTGGTCGCACTTTTAAAATCATCATGCTCTCTTGACGGCGTCATTTTTTATTCCATTTTTGCTTCCTCTGAGAGAAAAATTTCCGTATATTCCATGGATATGTGCGCGACGTATATTTTGCGTGTGGAAAAGACAAACAAACGTCTTACTTCGGTTTCCGTGAGATAGTGAAACTAAGAAGTGGGCATGCCTGAAGAGAGCAGACATCTTCAAGTACCTATCTTCACCGACAAAAAGAGCTGAAAAATATCTGGCTGCAAGAAGACTTTACACTACTCTATGTCACAAATTGAAACGGTAACTCCTAACTTTCCAGGAGATTGGAAAAATCTGATTTTTTTGTCGCAACAGTGGAATCATTTTTGCTCGATAGAGCAGAGACGTGGACGGATGCATTTAGCAGGTTAATGTAACAGGCATGATGGAGAAAGTGCCAGCAAATAAGTACTCTGATAGTTAAGCAAGGTAAAAATCGTAATCGTAGACACACTGCGAGAAGACTCAGTGGCTGAGACGAGGAAGAAGACTCACATTCGTAGACACACTGCGAGAAGACTCAGTGACGGAGACGAGGAAGAAGACTCACATTCGTAGACACACTGCGAGAAGACTCAGTGGCGGAGACGAGGAAGAAGACTCACATTCGTAGACACACTGCGAGAAGACTCAGTGGCTGAGACGAAGAAGAAGACTCACATTCGTAGACACACTGCGAGAAGACTCAGTGGCTGAGACGAGGAAGAAGACTCACATTCGTAGACACACTGCGAGAAGACTCAGTGGCGGAGACGAGGAAGAAGACTCACATTCGTAGACACACTGCGAGAAGACTCAGTGGCTGAGACGAGGAAGAAGACTCACATTCGTAGACACACTGCGAGAAGACTCAGTGACGGAGACGAAGAAGACTCACATTCGTAGACACACTGCGAGAAGACTCAGTGGCGGAGACGAGGAAGAAGACTCACATTCGTAGACACACTGCGAGAAGACTCAGTGGCTGAGACGAAGAAGAAGACTCACATTCGTAGACACACTGCGAGAAGACTCAGTGGCGGAGACGAGGAAGAAGACTCACATTCGTAGACACTGCGAGAAGACTCAGTGACGGAGACAAGAGCTAGAGATCGTCATGGAAGACCATACTGAATGGTAGAAGTCTGTGAATGCTATGGGGCGTCTCGATAAATGACCTAGTCTAGTTAATCAAATTTTGTGTGAGATTTCCTGTCATAACTCTTCATAGTTACAGCAGCTCGTTGATTCTTCACAGATCACCTGAAAGAATATGGTAAGATATATTTCTGTGGCGAGAAATATTGCAGTAGATGCGAATGTAGCCGGATGACTATTAATTTGAACATTTCTTTCTCTTTAAGTTTATGGATGCAAGCCTGGAACATAAAACGCGTTCCAACTGACGAAGATGTTTTGATTAAAGCATAAAACATTTATCATGGTCGACCGCACGAACTGCACGATTCTTTCATTAGCTGTACGTACATCGCCAGGGCTATATACTTTTAATATAATTCAGAGTTGTACTTCTTCTAGACTGGTTACCAAACAAGGATAGAGAACCCAGTTTACTCTACTATTTAACCCATAGTTTGGGGGTTATGGATTAATAACTTTCCCAAGCGCGTTTGCACGGAAATGAATATGATGAAACCAGACTGGAATGCGAACTGGGCTCTCCGATTTTTTATTCCGAGACGCTATCCATTGCACCACCCGCACATAATTTTGGATGTGCGGAATCAACATTTCAATTACATTTTAAAAACAGGGCGCCGATTTATGTAAAAAAATATTTTTGGTAATAGCTACTATAGATTGTTCACTAGAATCCGCTGTTTTCCCCTATCTACCGCGGATAACGAAGTCACACTGTATGTAATTTAAACAACGTTCTTTTTGGTCATGTCTTGTCCAAGAGGAAAATAACGCACAACGGAAGGAGAGTGTTAGATTCAGGACCTTTATAAGTACAAAAAAAAAAAAAAGAAGAAAAGAAAAGCACCAGTGATAATCTAGATTTGAATTCGGGTGACTTTTTTCCGAATTGCAATTGACACTGCAAATTTCTAGTGTTGCAAGATTATGAACGCATTGAGCAACCACTGTAAACCCCTTTTAAAAATTAATTCAGGTTCCATATTATACGAAGCTGGACTGAAACGTTCATAGTCTGACTCTGAAGGAGTTACGATTGAACTGTGAAAGCTTGTATGCCTTATTTTCTACTCTCCTTGTCAATAAATGCATCGTTGCTTCCCAGGTAAATTGACAACTGACTCTTTTTTCTGCAGATACTTGAAAATACCACGATGACAAATGCTGTCCATTTTCAAGAGAAGTTACTTTTGATGTCTTCTTAAAACAGTCAGATATCAGTTTACCTGGAAAGAAACAATGCACTGATTAATAAGTAAAGTCGAAATTAATGCATGCAAGATTTCACAGCTCTAGCATGAACCCTTCATAGTCAGCCAACGCACTTTTCAGCCCACAATCGTATTAAGAGAGTTATGTTTTGCGTGTAATGAAATGAACCAGTTACACACTGAAGCGTCACACAGTTTACACTCCAGCAGTTCATAATAACTTGATATTTTTGGAAACACGCTGACGCGTGTTGAAATCTTCGCAGTATTTAGTTTTGTTAAAGTTATCGCTAATATTTTCTGTCAAGATTTACAAACTCTGAGATGTTGCGGTTACATCAAAATATCAAATTTTTCTGGACTTATAAATTAAGTAAATCAATTTCTAAAAAGTTATTCTTAGCATCGCTTGATAATGGAACGGAACTTTAATTTTTATAATTGAATTTGAATTGACGTTTCAATTTTGAAACTTGGGAATTTCGGTGTTGCGATAATAATATACTTTTGAAAAAACAATCATAATATTATGCTCTATCGTTGTATTGAACACTGTTTTTTTTTTTTTTAAATAAAAATAAATGCTAAGAACTCTGAATTATAAATTTCATTGTTCTTTCCTATTATATATATATATATATATATATATATATATATATATATATATATATATATATATTAAAACTAGAAATGTTGTATTGCAGGCCATGATAAGTTTAAAATAAGTTTTTTTTTTTTTTCCTCTCTTCCCTGTCCATTCATTCATGTCACCCATGACAGACTTTTTTTCTTTTCCTCATAATCTAAATTTCTGACGAGGGACGAAACCGGTCGACTGCTGTGTGTTTTATTTTAAACTTATGGCCTGCAATACAAACATTTCTAGTTTTTAATGCCTTAATACGCTTTTGTACCGTTTCAAACCTATTTTTATATATATATATATATATATATATATATATATATATATATATATATATTGTTTTTTGTACATTATTTACATTATTCGGACTATTGTCCTCGTCTTTGTCGCCATATTTATCCCAACGTTTCGGCCGTTGTACGCTCCGGCCTTCTTCAGGTGGTTGGAATTTCGAACTGAACCCTTTATTTTGCTCACTGGGGTAGACTGTTCTACTTCCACGTGCCATGTTTGATGGATGTCACTTATCAGTTATCTCCTGCCAATTTCCAACTGAAAGTTCTACACTGCCTTAACCGGGTATTGAACTCACACTTTTTGGGTCCTGTCACTGGATCTAACCAACGCCTTTATCCACTGTGCCATGTGTCCTTGAGGACAAAGATGAGGACAATAGTCCGAATAATGTAAATAATGTACATAATACCTCATCTCAGAAATATAGACCGACTCTGTGTTTTTTGTCTATTTATTTTAAGCAAATTCCTTTCATATCGTCTGATAAGCTTACTAACATTTTCATTGAAAGACGAAAGAAGACCAACATATTGATACATGTTTTTTAATCCATTACAATAAATACACGGACATAGCAACAATGATAGTTTGTTTTGGTTTGTATGGAATATTTCCCACCAACGACAAACTCGTGCATACGAGTCACTGGAAGCGAAAATCGCACAGTGGACCATGACATCACACATGACCACGCGAAAGTGAAAACGAGAAGTGTTAAATATGGGAAGCCGTTGGTATAAACCAATGGCTTCTGTTATCAATTATAGGCATTTAAGTATATTTATTGTAATGTACTTAGCTTATGTAAGTCGAAAACTTAAATAGGATTAAAAAAAAACATGTATCAATAAGGTGATTTTCTTTCGTCTTTCAATGATAATGTAATTAAGCTTATCAGACGATATGAAAGGAATTTGCTTAAAATAAATAGACAAAACTTATCTATATTATTTAATGAAACATGCATTAATATATATATATATATATATATATATATATATATATATATATAATTATTTATTTAAAATATGATTCCAACTTGCGACATAAGAGGTCTCATGTTTCAAATCAAGAGTCGAAAACTTCAATATAATTATTTGAATTAAATTGAATTAAAGTAAGCTCTGTTCCATTTTCAAGCGAAATTTTTTTTTGAATAACTTATTTTCTGAAATTTACGTGTCTATGGTAACGGCTAGAGCGATTGTTTCAATAAAAAGGGGTGTAGGTGTTAATAATTTGTATCATTACAGAGTTACATTCACAGATGTCAAGTCAGGGTAAAGTTGGGGTGTCTAAATTTAAAATAACTAAAATACTAAAGAACTTTGGATTATTTACCTAACTAGTTCTTTTCCTATTTTCTATATATTTTTCACACACACACACACACACACACACACACACACACACACACACACACACATATACACACATATATATATATATATATATATATATATATATATATGTATATATTGGTTTTTGAGAAATGTGTATCACGTGTTGGGATATTTCGGTGTCGATATATGTAAATTTTATTTTCCTACCCGAAACGAAAACAGTAATTTTAGTAATTAATGCATTTTTTTTTAATCCGACAGTATTTCTCATATAGTAATACGAAATAATGACACACACAGACACACACACATATTTACGCCTTTTTTTTTATAAGTGTCAACTATATAGAGATACGTGAATTCCGATCTAATGTAATGGTTGTTTGTCTGATTACGTAAAAATGATAATTATTCAAGAGTGAATAGAATGTTATTTGTTCAGTTTAATCTTCAGGAAGTGCAGGACAGAAATTGGTCAATCAGCTCGACATGGAATGCGCCATTCCATATTTCATTACCTCTTCTCATTAACAGGAAGACTCATCATGAATTATCAGTCACTATCATTTCTCGTGTATATATATATATATATATATATATATATATATATATATATATATATATATATATATATATAACATAGGCAGCATATATTTTATATATAAAGAAATAATCATACATAGAATCAATCAGCAATATTAATGCGATTAATGGCGAAATCACTTCGCTAGTAGAACGTAATGTATGCATTAAAATACTGTTAATCCAGTTTTATGAGGATCGCATCATTCAATGGATTAACAATGCTGAAGGCAACAGCAATCGGCTAAGTGACAAACTTTATATTTGTATTAATGTTATCTCTCTCTCTCTCTCTCTATATATATATATATATATATATATATATATATACACACTGCGTGCCAAATTATTATCGAGATAAATTTTTTTAATAATATTTCAAAAACCGTCCAATCAATTCACACAAAATTTTCACACAATGTTGGCAACCCTGACCTGCGCAATCTACTGTTAATCCAGCTTTATAAATGAGGATCACATCATTCAATGGATTAACAGTATTTTAATGCATACATTATGTTCTACTAGCGAAGTGGTTTCGCCATTAGTCGCATTAATATTGCTGATTGATTCTATGTATGGTTATTTTTTTTATATATTATATATATATATATATATATATATATATATATATATATATATATATATATATAGAGAGAGAGAGAGAGAGAGATATTATATTAGATAGTAGATTATCTTTTGCATCCGTAAACTAATATTTTACAGAGATCAGACATTAACCTTTGTGGACTGGTTCACGCGCAGTGTATTGACCTTAGCCCTCCTTGATGAGAGAGAGTGAACTGTCCCCTCCACTGACGACCTATGCGACTTAAGACTTTTCGACTTTACAAGCATGACTACGATTTGATATATCTGACCGTCTGGCCATGACTGTTCCGCGTCTGGCAGTGTGAGTATTTCCCCCCTTGGTGTACGACAACTTCCGCCCCAGATCTAGGCAGCGCTCACACTCCGCCGCAGGCCTCAAGCTCAATGTTACGGGCAGCCTCGATACAGCACAGTAAACTCTACCACCAATATGCTTTGTTTGTCGTAAAAACAAGAAACAAAACAATTTGTAGTGAGATGATACAAATTGTATCAAACGGAAAAAAACCTTAAAAAAGATTTAAAAATATATATAGTAATGCCGAAAGAAATGCAAAAAGATTTAAATTCACAACATAGCCTTAAATACATTTTTAAGCGTGCTTAAATTTAAAAACATTAAAGTATTCAAAATTTTTAAATTTGCTCATATTTTTTTTTTTTATCATTTCACTCCGAGCAAAGCATTAAAGCCACTAAAACGCAAGGGTTTACCCCGTATGAGGGAATAGTTTTTCTCTTTTTTTAGTCCCGATTAAAGCCAACTTGGGAAAAATAATATAAGATTTAATTATTTAAAACACACACAAATGCATACACACAACGCATTTTTCGTTATTTATCTGATGAAGCCACACAGGCAAAATGTATTACTAGATATTATTTTCGAAACTTACTTTCATGGACGTTTTTCCAAATGTCAATAAGCTATATATATATATATATATATATATATATATACATTAATTCTTTTAGGATTTATTTGGTTTATTATATATATATATATATATATATATATATGTGTGTGTGTGTGTGTGTGTG